GCAAGAGAGCTGTTCACAGAGCAGAACCACACAGACTGTCGTGTCTGCAGCGCTGGCTCCCTGCCCGGGACGAACATGTGGTGGCGTGGGAGGAATGAGTCTCCCCCATTCAGCATCTTCCCTTGGCCTGTTATGTAAGAATTTAGCTCTTTGGAAATGTTGGTAAGCGTTGTTTTTGCTCTTCCCTCCCAGCAGGCTGATGAGCTGGCAGCAGGGACCTGCCCAGAATGGCCTGGGCCCCCTTCCTTACTCTCCTGCCTGCAAGAAGCCTGCAGAATCCTTTCCTATTCCTTGGGGCAAAATCTACTCCTGCTTGAGGAACATCTGCAGGTCAGAGGACTGAGAGCCCAGCTGTGGTGCTAGGTCCTTATGATGCCTGCCAACCCAGCCTGCTCAGCAATGTGGCCACAGGTTCTGTCTGTTCCCAAGGCAAGAGCTGCTGTGTGAGGCGGGCAGTACAGAATGGCCCAGCAGCATGAGCAGGTGGCCCGAGGGAAGTGCTGGGGGCACCCAGAGAAGAGGAGTTAGGAGTGAGGATGGAGGGGCTGCAGGTCCAACCTGAGGTGTGTGTGTGCGTGGGCGTGCTTGGATGCCAAACTGACTTTGAACTTTACTGGGGAGAGACATATGGGGAGTCACTAAAGTTTGTTGGTGGCAAAATTGGAATTGAATGAATCTAGAAACTTGGCCACTGACTAGAAGGGTGTTATGAGGAGTAAAACCAGGGCGTGAAATGTGGTTGTGTGGAACATGTGGATGGCATTCTGCGGCACTAGGAGCCAAGAGAGGCGTGAGGGCAGAGAAAGACAACGAACTTACTGCAGACTTCTGAGACGTGAGCCCCTGAAGGAAAGTCAGAAAGTGGGGTCCAGCAGAAGCCTCAAGGAGGGAGGTGGGAGGTGGCAGGAGACAAGGTCCTGGGGTTTGGATGCAAGAGTTGTTGTTGCATAAATACAAGAGATGGAGGGGAAGGGAGGCACAGTCTCCTGGAGAGGAACTGATGAGAACACAGGGTGGGCTTAAAGGCAAGCAGGGAATGGTTTGAGGGGCAGGAAACCAGAATGTGGCGCCCCACTGTGCCAAGATCAAGGACTGGGACCTTACTGCGTGAAGTTAGAATTAAACTTAAGAAGTCAGATTAATGCCACCTAGGAATCAGAGGGTGAGGGCTGGGGATTTAGCTCAGTAGCATAAGTGTCTGCCTGGCAGGTGCAAGGTTGTTTGATCCCCAGTACCACAAAAAAAGGGAGGATGAGGCTGGGGAGTAGGGGTGGGGGTATTGTGCGGCTCATGGTCTCCTCATTGGAATTTTTCATGGAAAATGGATTATTTTCCTTCCTCCTGGCAGGGTTTGGGCTGCAGGCTAAGGGGCGGCAGTGATGGAGACAGCAGCTGTCTTAGTACCTCGGTCTGCCTCAAAGTCTGCCTAACCACCGGTTTCCTCCTTGTGCAACAGGTCTCCAGTGCTTTACAAGCCGTCTACAGTCTTTGCTCCTTTTTTATGGCTGATGTGGGGCAGAGAAAACCCAGGTTTCAGAGCCTTGCTTCACCATACACAATAGATCTCAGAGCCAGGCCACAAATCAGAAGCGCTGGCTCTCAGATAGACACCTGCCATGGGCAGGAACTGAGCTAAGGGTGTAGACATGAATGACACACAGTTCCTGGCTTCTCAGACCTCATGTTCCAGTGGGACAGACAAAGGAGGAAGCACAAGCCTATATCAGTGATGGTGAACTGTGCGGAGTTTTCAGTGGTAAAAAATAATCAGCCGCAGCATGTGTGCCCTACTAGAACCTGAACCATTGGTGTGAGCCGTTGCAAGCTTTGGGCACCCTTACACCCATAATTTTAAAATATGGTTGCCCTAGATCTCCTCTCTGAGTGCTCACTGATGCTGGTGGCATACTTTCTGGAAATGGGGTTGCCTTATCCCACAAACCAAATATAGAGAAAGCTGTATCCTGGTGGCCCAGCAATGCTGGGACCTCCTGTGTGTTTTTGAAGCCCAGTGCCCTGCCTATGGGTTCTCACCCTCTGACCCTAAGGCCCCTGCCAGACCCAGTGGGGCTCTGAGGGTCTGGAGCCTTCGGAGTTTGTGGGTCTGACTCACACACGGAGCCACTGTTATTGAAAGTACCCATATTGTCCAAGGGTCTCTGAATCTGGAGGAATTTGTGTATCATGCCTGTGGTTTGCTCTTTGCTTCAGTCAATCAGAAAGGCAACTCCTCTCAGCGAACTGCTGGGGCTGGATCACTCATTTGGACGCCGTCTTTCTTTTTCTATTTTATGGACCTAATTTTACACAGCTCAAGTCTAGCAACAGCCTCCCTGCCTTTGGATCCTAGGGAGCAGAGGTCGGGTCATTCATCTCTTCCTTCCCCAAAGACCCTGGGGAAGTAGGTCTTCAGTCCTTACAACCAATAGGTAAGGCAGATTTTGCTACAGCTCTTAAACGTACAATATACAAAAGATAAATAAAACTCAAAGCGCAGGTTTTGTTACATCTTGATCCTCTCAACCATGGACTCTTTCCAGCTGTGTCTTTGTCCAAGGAAGACGGTTCCGTTCCTCAAGTGACCCTAAGCAAGACAGAGTCCAACTATACAAGGAAAGAGCCTGTATAAAGTCAGCAAAATTACTGAGGAGCATTGAGGGATGGATTCTTTCCAAGGCTGCTGTGTGAGGTGGGGGAGAGCATCAGAGAAAGTGTTCAGAAAACTGAGGTCTTAAGGCCCCCTCCTCCCTGCGACATTTTGTGTTGAAAAATTTTAAACATAAAGAGAAACTGAAAAACTTCTCCCGCATCCTATCTCATAGATTCTATTTTTCTCTTTGTGTGTTTGTTTCATTGCAAATGTATTCATCTCTTTAACCATACATCAACTAGCTTTACTGATTAATTACTTTATTGTTAATTTTGCCATACCATAAAATTCATCCATTGTAAGCATGCAGTTGGATGCATTTTAGCAAGTTTATAAGGTATGCAAGCCAGTTCTGGAACACTTGCTCGTGGAATCCTTTCATGCCCACATATTGTCCACGTCTGCACCGAGCCCAGCACGAGGCAACCCCGACCCACCTCCAGTTCTATGGCTTTGTCCATTCTGAAATTCCACATGAATGGGTATGTAATAGTCTCGTGCATGCATCTGGCTTCTTTTAGTTAGCATAGTTTCTGCATGTAATGACAGTTTGCCTCTTTTTGTATTTCCTTGTGGAGCTGTACCATGGTTTGTTGACACACTCACCAGTAGATGGACACTTAGACTGTTTCTAGCTTGGGTCTGTTATGAATCGTGTGGCTGTGAATCTTTCTCTACATATCTCTGTGTGGACTGAGGGAGATGGAAATACGCCATCCCAAAATATACTTTGTTAGCTTATCACCAGATGGCTACTCGGATATACTATATCAGAATGGCTGAGAAAAACTGTCCTTTTGTAAAAAGAAATTTACATCCAGTAGAAAGCAGATCGGGCAGGGCTTTGCTCTCTGATTTCTGCCTAGGCAATTTCTTTCCCAAGAAGCAGCAGCTGGGGGTCTGATAACTGCCCTCCACAGAGCTAAGCACAGGTGACTTACCTGGTGGACTTCACTGACTAATGACACGGACTTTGTTCGTCGTGTTTGTCTCCCCTCACTTTCCTAACCTGGGGCTGCTGCCCTCCAGGAACCCCAGTGTCTTTCTGTGTGGTGTGTTTGTTTCACCTGTCTAGACGTCCTTGGAGGCCTCCTGTGTTTCTGGTTGCTAATAAATTTGTACGCTTTTTTCCTGTTTATCTGTCTATTGTCAGTTTATTTCAAGGACTAAGAGTGTTGAATCTCAAGAGGAAAAAGAGAAAAATTTTAATTTCCCCAGTCAAGAGGCTTCTTTGTGGGATCACGGCAGCAGTCTAAAATGAGATTGTGGGGACGACTGCACAACTCTGTAAATATACGAAAATCTTAAAGGAGGTGAATGTTATGCTATGTAAATTTATTTTAATAAAATGATAAAAATAAAGACAAAAGCAAAATTAAAATGCTAAAAGTCTTCCCTATAGGCCGTCCCTTTTCCTTGTAAGTTCTGTTGGGCTAAATGGGAACCGACCAGGTTGGTAAAGCCAGAGGGAAGCCAGGTGAGGTGATGCACACCCTGGAATCCAGCAGCTCGGGAGGCGGCTCTCAAGGTTAGCGCCATGGGGGTCAGTGCTGCTTAAATGTTGATTACAGAGACAGTGGGAGCTGCTCAGATTTCTAATTAAGATTAAAGAATGTACCAGCTTATAAATGGTTCTCAGGAATGTATAATTTGATTAGCCTGTTTTTCTTCGGGCGTTTTAATTTCTAGGTTAGCGAACGTGGCCTCTGTCTACAGGTGAGGCGGCTTGTTCCCCACATACAAAGTGTAGGTCTTGCAAGGTGCATGAGGGGCAATAGGGTGAGAGGAAGAGCATGGGCCCTGGAGAAACAGGCCAGACCTGAGCAGTAGCTCTTCTCTTTCTTCCCCTTTTTCTTCCCTCTGATAGGGACAAGTAAAGAACGCTCCCGTTGGAGATCAAAAAGGACCCACAGCATTGCATATATGTGCTCAGAAGGGCTGATCCCACATCCTACATCCAGCCCTCTTTTATTTTTCTTTCTCCTGTGGAGCCCACCCCATAGGGCTAAGATTGATCTAGGGACCTTTGTTGGACCTGCATAGGGTCCCCCTTGTCAGTCAGAGCCACGATGACACCCTAGGGCCCATTCAGTGGCTTCCTCTTCCCACTGGGCCCTGAGTATCACCAGTGAGGGGCCAGGTCAACTTCATGCTTCACTGGCCCTGGAAGCGACCTGGGCTCCAGGGCAGTCACTTTCCCTCTTCACACCCTTCATACTCCTGCCCCAGGCCACCATACAATATTGTGGCCCTCTAGACACAGCAGCTTACGTGGGTCACTTTCTCCATTAACAAACAAGCACAAAACAAAACACTACCTTGTGACTGCATTGGTATATGGATGAGAGAATTAATATTATGTATTAAACATTTTATTTTCTCTGAAACATTCTTCTTTTCTGATTTTAAAAGAAATTAAAATATTGCCAGGGGTGCAGGTCCTGAGCTCCTGTGGATAAGGAAATCCTGTGATATTTCCCAAAGTTGCTGACAGGGGGCACACCTGCCTACTCAGGGACCAGGGATGAGCGGTGACTTTGGGTCTGGCAAACTGCTCTTCTCTGTGGAAGTCCTTAGAGGAAGCCATGAGAGTGCTGTCCCCCGGCCAGCCCTGCAGACAGGCTGGTGGCTCACTTGTCTCTACAGCTTCTCCAAGTGTCTCCCTCCCCTTTACTTCCACGTGATTGACCTGTGGAGGGTGGGGGCTCTCTGTACAGTGTTTAGTTCCTGGTAAGTAGAAGTTAGCTCTCAGAGTGGTTGGAGAATGTTCTTCACTCCAATTTGTGTGTGTGTGTGCATGTGCATGCACATGTCTGTGTGCACAAAGGGAGTGTTTAAAAAAGTATCCCAGACATTCTCCAGATGATTTATTGTTTTTTGTCTTTTTGAGACAGGATCTTGCTATGCAGTTCAGGCTGATCTTGAACTCACAGTGATCCTCCTGCCTCAGCCTCCCCAATGCTGGGATTATAGGCGTGAGCCACTATGCCCAGCTTCCAGATGACTTCTTATGCACATGAAAATCTGAGGAAGCGCGTGTGTCAGGAAAGGGCATGGATTTAGCTCCTTCCCTCTCCTTCCTTGTCATAGACCACTTGCTTCTCCACTATACCACTGACTGGAAATCAATGAACATTATGGAATGCTGGGTTAGGAATTTCAGGGGTGAAAGGGGTTGGTGAGGCCCAGCCCCATTTTGCGAGGTTACCCACATGCTTCTGAGCAGGATGTCAAGGTGCTCAGCCTCAGACTTGGGAAAAGCATTGGTGAGCAACAGAGTGTGCAAGAGTTACATGTGTGTAAAGAAGCGCAACTGCGGCCCCTCTGTGAAGGTGGACGCTGCACACGTCTGAAGGGAGCATGCCGGGGCTCCTGTCTGGCACTGCCACTACCCGGGGTGTGTGTGATGGCAGTCTCCGTGGTGCTCCAGCTTCTGAGCTTGTTCATATTCGGATCATGCCTAAAACAGTTTGTAAATTCGAAGGGCCTTGGACATCATTTGTTACTGTTTTTTACAGGAAAGAGTTCCAAATATTGCTGTAAGTATGCCAAGGCAGCCCTAAAATGAGTCTCTCCAGCGCTGGGGTGGGGGTGGGGAGCTGAGCCTGGGGTTTGGCTAGGCTCCCCAACTGGCTGCATGATCTAGCAGCCTTCACTAGAGGGCCAGGCTGCCACAAATCCACTGTCCCTCATAAAGACGGAGAAGGGACTAGAGAACCCTCAGAGCTGGTTTTAGACTTCAGGGCAGTCTCACTCTGAGGACAAAGCCGACATCTCCAGAACGATGACCTGGGACTCCCTGAGCTCAGATCTGTGTCCCCAAGGTTCTTCAGTTCGGGAATGGGCCTTGGGCAGAGACCTGGCTGGGCAACAGAGTCTCTGGTCAGTAGGGTGGCGGTTCTGGGGTCAGCCAGGGACTAACTCTGAAAGATTTAGAAATACACACTCCCTAAATCATCCCTCTCGGCTGTAGGCGGATTCCTGCTCCTCCAAAAGACGCGCCTCCTCAGCCAGACACCTTGCCCTCACCTGGAGTGGGCAGGACACAGCTGCAATGAGGTGTGTGTCTAGCGCCCCGACCTTGTCCGGCCTTCTCTGTTTCCGAGTCCCAGGGGCCTAGATGGACAGGCAGGATGGACAGGCAGGAGGGGTCTGGCTGCAGCCGCTGCGTCCCGCACACTGGCAAGGGGACGCCAGTTTCCCGCTTGGTTCGGGAAGTGTGTTAGGATGGGGCTAAGGATAATTAACACTTGGGGCGCGTTTTGTCTTCCAAGTGCTTTACAAACACGACCTAATTAGCCCGCGGGGAGGAGCGGAGCCACCGAGCGTTCGCTTTATTATTCGTGGTTATACCGCCTGGAGCGCGCAGCCGGAGCTTGGGCCAGGAGGACGCGCTGGTGGCGGCGCCCCCTCCCGGGCTCCCACTCTCGGTGGGGAGGACCTCGCGGGCTCGGCTAGGAGGGCGGTGAGCCCCGCTCTCAGGCATCTCATGTAACCTTTGCGGGAGTCTGCAGGCTCGGAGAGGTCCCGCTTCAGAGAGGCACCACACAGCCTGCACCAGGGCGTCGTCGCAACTCAGTCCTGGGCGCCTGCAGAGCTCCAGGTCTTTGTCCTTTTCTGGGCGTCTCGCCAGCTCTGCACGGCGAGCCTCGGGCCACTGCGAGCCCTGAGTGCCGCGTCCCCTAGCGGGGACCAAAGCGTGCGGCGGCGGTGCGCGCTCCCGGGCCGGGCCGCCGAAACTGTTGCAGCTCAAAGCTCCCCGCTACACCTGAACCGGGGGACAGATGTGCATCAATATTTATTCGGAACTCCCAGGAAACCTGGATGAAGTGTAATTATCTCAGCTCAATCAGCTCGGATTAGCATAACATCAAGTCACCCATCAGACGGAGGGTTTGATTTCGGGGATCAAAGCGCCGCGCTGTAGCCGCTGATTAATCGGGGAGAAGGGAGCGAGGAGAAGAAAGCGGCGCCGGCTCCGCGAGCCACAGCTGCAGCGCTTTGATGCGCCGGTAGCGCCAAGTTAACTACCCGCCCGGCTCGCCGCCCACCCCGCCGCTTCTCCCGCCCTCTGCACCCGCCAGGTCTACGGGCCTGAGCGCCTCTTCTCAGGCAGCAAGGCGCCAGCTCCAAAAGCAGCGTGACCCTGCCCTTCCGGGGCCTGCGCGGGGAGAGGTGCTTGTCTGTGCACGAACTGTGCAGCCTATAGAGGAGCTGGGAGCTCCCTGGCGACCCATGTCTCATCTCCCCCTCAACTCTCCTCCAGGCCTGTGAGGCTGGACCCCAGGCTAAGTGCAGGAGTGACCTGCACGCGTTAGTGAACGCTCTCCCGATGCTGATCCCAGCTGCCTGCAATCTGCCCCATCCCCTCCCGCCATGCAGAATTTATTCTGGTTACTTAATCGGCCTTTTCTTGGTTCTGTACCTTTGTGCAATATTTTCCCATCCGGGACGCACTTCCGTCCCTTCCTTTTGCCAACTAATTTCTGCATCTTTAACATGCAGTCGTAAGGCATCTTGTCCCCTTGAAGCCTGACGCCCTTCCCGTGGAGAAACCTCTCTGCCAGTAACACCAGGAATGGCACGGCTCGGTCATGGTTTGAATAGCGCCCTCTTCCCGGGGAAATTTTGCACTGCAGAACGGAGGGTGCCAGCAGTTCCAGGAGCTCTGGTTTGGGTGTGGTCTCCAGAAGACGGAAAATGGCGGATAGCAGGTTAAATATGTGCTTAAAATCCTGGTGACTTAGGACTCCCCCTCCTAGTGTGTGCTGACTTTATTTCTATCTCTTCAGCAATGCTGAGGGCAGGAGCCGGTCTGTCCTCTGAAATATGGTCTTTAACACAAGGCAGGTTTGGGTTCTACTACATGTCCGTTGCCAGCTTTGCTTGTCAAGTCCTGTGACCCTCCAGGAATCAGACTGCTGGCTGCCAGTGCCACTGTGGCTGTGACCTTCCTACATAAGCCACCTCACGGGAGAGCACCCCCGAAGGAGGCAGAGAGCCCTGGAATCTCAGGGCAGAAGGGAAGCTCACGGCTCCCTTCCTCACCCTCCTGTGCCTTTGGTCTCTGCTTGGAGGATAAGGAGAGTGCAATGGGGTTTGGATGGTCTGCCCTGCACCTGGTCCCGTTGGGAGCAGGCTCGGCTTGGTGAGGGCAGAGGACCATATGACATCTTCAATGCTCTTTCTGGTTGGTGGGATGCAGGCAGCATAATCCCTTCCAGAGCCTACCCCAGCTTCAGTCTCACTCAGGAAGCCAGACAATTGACCATCCATACCAAAAAAGGTTCTTCATAATACCCGCTACCCAACAACTTGATCTTGCCAAAACCACAACCCAAACTTGAATTCCAAAGCTGCTGCTTTGCAGGTGATTTAAAAAATTGTTTAAAAAGTATTCATCTGTATAACTTTGGTCGTCTTTACTGCAAGGCCACAAAGACATCATAAAAATAATCACATACAGGTCCACAAAGTGTGACTGCTTAAAAATCCCAGCCATTGTCTTACCCAGTCCTCCTAGCAATCTGTGAGAGATAGCAAAGATGATGATGCCCACAGAACAGGAGACAGTGCTGTGTCTGAGGTCCTGCAGGAAAGTGGAGCCAGGACTTAACGTGTGTCTCCTAATACCTTTGACCAAGAATCTCTCTTTTGTGTCCAAACCTCCATTGGGTTTGTTTTGTTTTCAAGGAGGTGGAATGCACAAGAGGTGGAAACCCTTGTCCCAAGTCTCAGGCCAAGCCAGGACAGTGCCAGTTCTTTCTCTGCATTGCCTAGGGGGTCTGGACACCAGACTCTCACCCCTGGAAGACCCTGGAAGGTGACGGAGGTGACACAGGGCATCTCGAAGTTGAGATATGTGTGTGTCTATTGGTGTTCTGCTGTGGACTGTGAGCTCCTTGACGGCACAGACCCTCTATTTTATTTCATACTGTGTCCCAAGATCAAAGCTCAGTGCCTAGAACATAGGAGGTTCTCAATGAGTAGATGTAGAGTAAATGAATGAAATAATAAAAGAGGAAGAAAGAAGGGAACAGCAGGAGGCAGAAGGATTAGAAAGCCAGTCATCTCTGGTAGGGGCCGTCTTGAAAGTGACTGGGTATGTGCCCCTTATACTGGCAGAAAGATGATTTATCTCCCTTCCAAATCTCATCGTGGATTTTTCTCTCCCCTTTAATTAAGAACTAAATATAGATCTTAATTAAGACACTGATGAATTTAATTTAGAGTGGCATTAGGGCCTTAACTTGCAGAGCTCAATGCCGTGTTTGTATAATGTGGGATATGAGCTAAATGAGAGCTTGCTTGTTACCACTGTAAATAATTCCCATGCAAATCCCTTTTGAAGCATCACTAACACTAATCCGTGCCCATCTAGGGGCTGTTCTGGACTCCCACTGCCCAGCCCCTCTGCATTTGTCCACATCACAAGGCCTCCTGTCTTGCCTCCTGGGCTCTGACCAAATGAAGTCCTGTGTCACCCTTTGTTCATACAGACCCCACCACCGGGAATGCCTTTCCCTCACTGTTTGCTCCAGGTCTCTCAGGAGCCTCCTCCTCTTCCTACCAGCTCTAGCCAAACGCTTGGATCCCATGAGGTCTCTCTGTTGCTTGCTCCCTGGCTCCTGATCTCCAAGCATTTAGAGTGTGAGCTCTAAATATCCCAGCAGTTTGTTGATTCCAGCACTGACTCTGCCATGTGCTATTGTGATTTCATCCCTCTCTTCTTTTACTGGTGCTACTGGGCCGTAAGTGCCAAACGCAGAGCCTGTACATAGCAGGGACAGGGAGGAGCTGTCACTCTGCCGTCCATCTGTGAGTATGAGGAGCCAAGCTCCCTGTTTCAGTCCACTTTAAAAAGCATTTGTAGAGCGTTTACTGTATGCCAAATATACATATGTACCAGTGTCTTCAAGACCTTTAAGGTTTGTGCAGTGGGTCAGAGCTGCATGAGGACGCATGGCAGGGGCAGGTGTGCGGTCCAGCTGTGCTGTGTGGAGTTGCAGAGCAAGGCGTGGGCCCATTTCAGTCACTTCCGAGGCTCCTGACTGATGCCAGGAGGCAAGCATAGCTGGTGGCTGAGAGCCATTATCCTCAAGTCTGGGGCTGGATATGGCCAGCTCAATCAATAAAATGGGATCGTTTTGAAACTAATGGCATGCAGAAGTGCTCAGTAAACAGGGATGCTGCTGCTGATGGTGCTGGATGACATCCTAACCTAGTTGGAGCCTGGGAACTTTTCAGTTCAACAGAACATTGACTCAGACGTCCTCTAGTGGAGTATGTCATTCATGCTTTGTGCATAATTAACTGGGGTGTGTGGTTGGCCTTCATTGGATCCACTTTGTTTGTGGCTCTGGGCCCTTCTTCTGGCCTGTCTGCCTCTCGAGAAATGAAAAAATGGCATGGAGTGATTCCAGCAGCTCCCTTTGTTGTCTAGAGGGACTCAGCCCCTTGGGTCCTCCTCCTCTTCCCTAACCTCACATCAGAACAGCTTCATCCCCAGGATCGGGGAAAATGGGGATTCTGTCTTTCAAACATCCCCTCATCCCCTGCAGTGCTGGGCACATAGCCTTTACATGTGGCAAGCAGAGACTGTCTGTGATTTGAAGAATTTCCCTGGACCTCTTGGCTTGCCAGTCTGCTGTTCTCGGGGCCCAGTCATGGGTCCTGTTTGAAATATGCTGACTCTCCCTCCCCATTCTATGGAGCTCTGTCCAGGAGTCCAGTGCATGGTTTCTTAGCCTTAGCACTTTTGACAATTGGGTTGAATAATCCTTAGCTGTGGGGCTATCCTGTGCCCTGAGGGATGTTCAACAACTTCCGTGGTTTCTACCCACTAGATTCCAGTAAGACCTGACCCCATTTGTGACACCCTAAATGCTTCTGCCAGCTGTCCTCAGCATGGCAAATGACGTTATGCTGGAAACTGTCCATCTATGCTAAGCACAGGTCACATATGTGATCTTCTTTATCTACCTGGGAAACTCATGATATAGACACAGTTCTAATGCTGAAGTAGAGGTTCTGGAATTAGGCAGGGTCAGTTCAAATCATGTCACTTCCTTTAACCTCAGTTTCTCACCTTTAATTTGGTTTTTATTCATACCTTGCCCTCCAGGTTATTGCAGTATTTGGCACTTAGTAAATGTGAATCGGTTTAGTCACGTGCCTCATAACGTTTCTGCCATGGCAGTTTGAGTCTATGCCACATAGCCTGGGTGTGGAGGAGAGCACCTAGGATCGTGTAATGAAAAGTCTAACTGTGCACTTTCCAGAACACACTCCTGGCATGAGGTGACTCAAGATTATTGTAAATGCAACAATTCTGAATATCCACTATGTGTCAACCATTGCTTTAAAGTATTAGCTCATTAGATCCTTATAGGATTCTGTCATATGGTAAATGGTACTCGTGTTATTCAAATGAGAAATAGAAGCACAGAGAGTTAAATAACTTGCTGGTAACTTGTGATGTCGGGTTTCAAACTCAGAGTAGCAGGACTCCAGGGCTGTGCATTAAACTATATTATATTCTGTGGTACCAAGTTCTTATTGGAAGCTTTCATGTTCATTTTACTTATAAGCCACCAGCCTACTTTCAAAGACACTGGTTTCTAGAACTATTCCTGCGCAATTTAGTAGCTACCAGTCACATATGACTATGTAACTTGAAATTAGATAAAATTTAAAATTCGATTCTTCAGTCACACTAGCCACATTTCAAATGCTCATTTCAAGTGTGTACTTAGTGACACTGCTACGGAACATTTTAGTCATCACTGGTTTCCGTTGGACAGGTCTATTCTAAGGACTATGGAAAATGAATTTATTTCTTCTGAGAGAGTTTTGATGTCCCTTTAGATACTTGGTGTCAGTCAATCAAGTTTGTCCAGAAATATTAGCTGCCAGTATATTCTGTTCATTTAACATTTATTGTTTTTTTTTCCCCTGAGTCTGGAGCAGTATTTGAAATCAAAGAAGTAAAGATAAATACATATGATCCTTGCTCATAAATGTAATTTATAACAGCAATGGGGTGTGTGGTTATCCTCTGCAAGCAGAGCCTGGGCTAGTCTTCCCAGCTCTGGAGAAGTTCTAGCTCTCTTTTCCTAGAATTTCTGCTGCAGAAACTTGAAGCATAGACAGTAGAGATGTTAAGGCAGGGAAGAATTATTTGAAGGAGAGTTTGTTAGAGAAGTTACATTCCAAGTAAGCCAAGAATCAAGTGCAGTAAGTAGGCCAGGACACAGAGACACAGAAAACACGAGTGTCACCTCTAGTGAACCTCCAGAGACCCCAGTCTTCTTTTGTAACTGAGCTGAAGGCCTCCTCACCGTCTAGAGTTCTCGACTTCCCGCTTCCCTCCACGTCAGCTGACCCTGCCCAATTCCCATCTTCCAGCTCCAATTCAACACTCTTCTAGCTCAGAAATTGGTGGGTAGATTGGAAACAATGAGGCCTGACTCTGTTAGTTCAGAGCAAAATGGCTTTTTTAAGAAAAAGGGCTTTGTATTCTTGGTGATGGAAGGACAAGTTAAAGGAGCAGAAGAGGGCTGGGATGG